CACATATCTCACCAAAATGGATCAAAGCTATAAATGTTAAAACAGAAACACTTAATCTGTTAGAAGATAAAACAAGTACTACTCTTGAAGACATAGGAGTTTAACAGAACCCTAATGGCACAAAAAATAATAACAAGAATCCACAAATGGAATCATACCAAATTAAAACGCTTCTCCACAGCAAAGGAAACAACCAACAAAGTGAAGAGACAACTATAAAATGGGAAATATTTTTTTGCCAGCTATTCCACAAACAAAGGACTAACATCAAGAATAAATAAAGAATTAAAAATATTAGATCTCCCAAAATAAAAGAAAGATAAACTTGAGGTATTTGTAGGAGCATGGATACAACTTGAGAACATAATGTTAAGTGAAATAATTCAGACACACTAGCTCAAACATCACATGGTTTCTCTTGTATGAGAAACACTGATGGGGGGGAATGGGGGGAGCAAAATAGAAGAGAGATTAAATAGGAAGTTGGAAGAAGTTCAAATACTTTCCCAAATTATATATTGCATTGTTTCAAAACTATTTCAATAAATGTGCTAATTTGTATCATTTATACTACTAGTTTATCTTAGTTCATTGAAAGTTTTGAGTTATTAGATGTTGCTTCTTTTTTGCAAGAATCTTTTTGATTTATGCTCTAGAGTTCTTATGTCTCAAGGATTCATATGAGGTATGGAGATTGTCCTAAAGGATGCCTTTGACTTCCCAAAAAATTCTATGCAAAATTGGATGTATGTAATTTCCAGTGAGAGGATAATGATCATATATCAGATTCTCAAGTGTTCAAAAAACACTTTACCAAAAAGAGTAAGAATCATTGACCAGGGCTCTTTTTAGCATCTTTTATCTCTTTCCCTCCACTGGGGCTTGTCCTCTGCATTTGGTCAGATTTTAGCCTAAAACTTTCCTTCATTTAATCCTCAAATATCCATCCTCCTGTCCCTCTGGTCTTTCCTTTGCTGTGAGTCTTCTTGAATGCATAATTATACCTACTGTGTTCACTTTTTTACCTTCAGTTTACACACTATCTCCAGGGTCTCACTTATCTCATTCTGCTGAAATAGTTTTTTTAAAAAGATGATATATGCCTACTCATCACAGAAGCCAGTTGTTGTATGGCATTGCATTCTCTGGCTTCTCTGGCATATACGATCATTGCTCTGACCTTGTAACTTTTCCCTCCTGGGCGTTTGAGTTTCTGCCTCCTCTTAGACTTTCTGCTCCTCTAGTATCTATTTTCTTACTGCTTCCCCTGCTACCAACTAGAGTTCCTCTTCGATGTCTTGTCCTCAGGTCCCTTGCTTTTCTGTATTCTTCTCTTTGGTCATCTCATGTACACTCATATACTTACAGGTCCACATTTTTCTTGAAACTTTGGTTCATATTTACAAGTGCCATCTCCACTGGATTACCTGAAAGCATTTCTAATATGTCCAGTATGAAATTCATTCTTTTGCAGGAAGTGTTCTTGACTTGTATATTTCCATGACCAGACCGCCATGTTCTGTTTGTCAGACACAAAATCTCCGAGTTTTCATGGACTCATGCTGCTCATTTGCTTTCAGTCTCTTCATTGTTCCATAGTCTGGGGCACCAATGAGTGCCTCTCCTAGGTCTTTCTAAATACTTCTATGGCAACACACTAGCCTAGCCCCTTTTCACCTATCACTAGACCTGTTGGATTGGGCTTTAATTTCTTTTTGTTTCATCTTTCTTACTACTTAAATCATCATCAATGCCTTTTGTCAAATACTACCAGATTTACTAAAGCATGTGCCTAAAGCATGCCAGTTTATGACATTTTGAACATTCCATTATCTACCAAATTACCTCAAAATCAAACCCTCTCAGGTTCTGATTGCAAAATGCTTCTGTAACACTTCCCTAAATACACCCTATTTATTTATATTAACAGAAGTGAAATACTTATTACTAGAATATATGGATGCATGAACACAAGTTTATTGGAGATGTTTTATAAATAAAACCCCAGTATCCTCTTTAGTCATCCAATTTGTTCATTTCCTTAGAAGTTATCTTCCCTTGAAAGTTTAGAATTCAATTGATTATAATTCATCAAAAGTAATTTGAGCAGCCTGGTGTCCGAAGAGAAACTCTTAGGTTGAACTGGAAGCATCAGGATCCATAAAAGTGATTTTTTCCTAGCCCTGTGACTGTGTTGGTGACAGTTTCTACAAGAAATAAAGACCTCACTCAAAAGAGGTCACCGAAGAGAGTTTAACAAAAGGACAATTCACAAATGTGCTAGACATGTTAAGGGAAGCCAGACTAAAAGGGTAGGAAGGAGCAGTTAGTAAAACTCTGCAAGAGGACGATCTGCAGGACAGAGTACCTGGTGGGAACTATGACCTTCTGTGGAAAAGCAAAGTTGCTGCCAAACACTACCCTGGAAGGCTGAAAGCTGGGAGAATAAATACTTCAAATTCTCTCACTTCCTGCTTGACTTCTAATGGATGCCTCTCACTGGTCAAACCCAACCAAAAACAGAGAGCATGAGCCTGAGTAATGCCTCCAAAGCGGTTAGTTCCTAGAGCACAGAGGGGAGAGGGGAGGAAGAGGAGTGGATCTGGAGGAGGAAATGCAGAGCATCAGAACTTTGTCACCTCTGGCTCCCGAAGGTCCTTCCTCAAGGAGACACAAAGTTTGTGTTGGCTAAAGCTACTGGGCTGGCTCAGGAGCCATGGGTGATACTATATACTAATGGGAGGCTCATCCCTATAAGGCTTAGGGGTTTCAATTGCTGCAGTAAAACTCCTCCATCAACTCTCATGCCCTCTGCCTATCTCCATGCCAGGAAGCCTGTTCCTCCTCACTTCTCATCTCTCCTCATTTCTCTTTCATGTTGCAAAATGGTTTCAACAAAATTACTTAGCAGAAAATAAACACTCCAAGACCAAATTAAATAATATCGTAATTTTTATTAACTATTTTCATTATAACTTATAATTTACATTAGATTTTACTGCTTGGGCAATAAGAAATTTATGATGAGGTAGCTGGCTTAATTTTGAAGGAAAATGACATCGAAGCGACTATTATGTTTTCTTTAATAAAACACTCAAAATAGAACACCTAGCAATCCCCCTCTGAGCCTGCAACCTGAAATCCTACAGGAGGAAGGGCATTGTGGCAAGGAGTATTGATGGTCTATCCCTTTCTCTTCCACATTTATGGGCACAGTACATTCTCCTGTTTCTCATTCTTTATTTCACTGTTCTCCCCCCCCCCCCACTCCTCACAGGTCCATCAGCTGGCAGAGCAGGGGATGAGAGGCTGGGAATGGGGGACTGCTGGTGACAAACACTGAGGTGCTACTTTCCCAAGTGGAGAAGGTCAGCAAAGTGAGAAAGAAAAGAACCAAGGAGGGCCAATCTTCCTGTGTCAGGTAGGCCATGGGGATATCTAAGAGTCAGGAAGTAGAACTGGGAACACTTTGGGGTTAAGCTTCTGTTTTTGTTGGGGCTGATTATTTGCAGTCCAAATCTAAGGGCAAAGCAAGCCCTTGAAGGTTGAATAAAGAGGTATTCAAGAGCACGGGATTTACGGAATCTAAAACAAACTGAAATCAATACAGCTTTGCCTAGAAAACCTATAAATAGTTTTCTGAAATCACTCCTTTGCCTAACATCTTGGGAAACTATTTGCAGTAGCTCTCCTTTATGACATTGCTTGCTTCCCTGCTTTCATTTGTATAGAACCAGGACAGCAATGAGCCCACAGGACAGCTGGTGTTAAGTGCGTGTGCTCACAGTAAAAGTGTTCGCTACCCTCTATATGTGCTATCATGAATGTAAGAGGGGTGGGTGGCTATATCATTAAAGACTGATAGGCTTCAAAGAAGTGACCAAATGATTAGCTCCTATAAGAATTCAAAGGTAAAGAAGTAATATCCTGAGTTCAGGCAGAATATAGGTAGGTTTTTCTGAGATTAGAGAACAATCCTCTGGCAAAGGAGACATGACTATCAAGCAATCACTTGTCTCATCCTCTCAGGACTCACCCATTTAGTGCTTTAGGCACCACTATCCTTGGTCCCAGTAATACATTTTGTTGGGTACAAAACATAAAATCCATTTTCCTTGCTTTCTTCACATGATTGAGCTAGTCTAGGGAACTAAAGAGGGCTTAGCTTCATGAGCTCCAGTCTGTAAAATGAGAAATATGCACTGTACACACTGTATCTCTCTTATTTACATCCGTGTTGCTTTCCCATGGGTTTGGGTTTCAGCACATTTCTCCTTTGCCATCTGGGTATTTTCTTTCTGGAGGTTTCATCTGCCCAAACCTAGGAATATTCTTAATTTTAAGCCAAGGAAGGCAAGCTGTTCCAGGGCACATGGACTCACAAGCTTGACGTGCCAGGTACTTCAAAAAGCGTGATAGCATCCACCCAAACACACATAAGGAGTATACATATTACATATTGGAGATGAGCTTCAGGGCACCTGCTGAAATTAGACACTCACTCTACTTCTCAGCCTTATTTTAACCTGGTTCTCCAATCTTTGGAATTCACCTTTTCATTGCCTTGTAAAATGATTAGATGGTTTAACCTTGTTATGACATTTGTGCTTGTGTTCTGGTCACAAGAACACAGCCAAAGCAGCTGGCTTAGCTCAGAGGAACTTTCTACAATAGCTCACTTCCTACCTATTCTTCCCACCAAGTGATGGAATTTGACTTCATGCCCCACAGTTACTGAAGGAACTAGAAGTATTCCAAGGATTCCCCAAACCACTTGAGGTTGAATGGCATGTATTTTCTGATGTGATGCTGAGAACCACACTCACTGCAGAAAGTAAGAGAATAAACTCATTTTAAACACATGACTCCAGACAGTATTTCAGCAATGAGACTTGGTCAAAGCTGAGCCAGAGTTTTAACAGACTTGCATCTTCAGGTCCCCAAACCTATCACCCCTCATCCCTTACTCACTGAAAAAGAACAAACATGGAACAACTTACTGTAAACTGGATTTGACAGCCACCCATGATATAGTCCAAGAAGGAATGCATCTTGTGGATCTGCATTGGAGAATAGGAAACTGAGTTAATAACAGTACACTCTGCTTCTTTACAGGTCAAAGGCCTAAACTTGGCAGATAGGCTGCTAAATCAGAGGAAAGGGCAGGAAAAGACCTGTGGGAAAAAATGGGCCAGGTGATTTTGTTCCATTATAAGAGAGAAATAAAGCAATGTCAGTCATTACCAATAGGTCTGTAAAGTCTGCAAATACCTATCTCATGCTTCACTTTCTTTTGGTTTACACATGATTCTAATCAACTTCCATCTCTGGGATGACTACAGTGTCCAGGGTCACTACTGTTACAGATAATAATATCTCATTCTTTTTTTTTTTGTATTAAATTCTTTTATTGGTACATTGTAGGTATACAACACAATTACACTTCTCATTGGGAATTGTACCTTTA